TGGGGTTTATGTTTATCACATTATATTTCACTTTTTAAGATTTAATCTTTTGGGTTTTTTTTCCAGCCAGTCAAGATTCTTTTGAATCTTTATTTTACTTTATTTTCCCATTCAGTGTATTAGCTTTATGTCTTGGTATTCTTGTGAATGATGGGACCAAATGGCTGAAGTCTGACTCTCAGTTTACAGAGCTTGATTTCCATTGAATAGGCAATGGTCAAACACCAAAAGTTTTTAAGTGAATGAATGCCATCTCATATTGTTAAGGAAAGTTAGTGTGTTGATAACATGTAGGGTAGATTGGGAGGGGTGAATATAAAGCAGGAAGACAAGAGATTATTGTAATAGTTCAAGTGCAAAGTGATCAGTAAGGATGTTAGAATGGAAGGGAGTGCATACATTTTCTCATTCACTGCCATATGCCTAGTGTATAGAAGAGCATCTGGCACGTAATAAGTACTGAGTGAATATTTGTAGATTCAATAAATGAATTCATGAAAATTTTAAAATGTAGGCTGTGTGGCAGAAGGAAAGGAAGGAATTAAGTTCTACTCCAGTATTTTAAGTTTGATTGAACAGAAATTGAGCAGGCAGAGAAGGTTTTGAGGAAAAAATTAAGAACTGTGTTTTATTCACGTTGAAGTAAGACAACAATGCTCCCAAGTAAAACACTCAATAAACGTTTGTTATGGGGGGAGCGAATACATGGGAGAGAGGTTGATGGCTAGGGTTTTCACTTTGAGAGCCATTTGCAGTAGAGGTAATAGATATAGTAGGGGTCATGGTCCTCAAAGATGGGAGTATATAGATAAAGAGCAGAAGGTCCAAGGGAATAGCAAATTAATAGAGAAAAGATAACATATGTCGACTGCTTCCTATGCACTAGGCACTGGGTTAAAAGCTTAGTATGTATTATATCTTCTAATACAACATCCCCCGAAGGGCAGGTATTACCTAGGGAAATGGAAATGCAGAGAACTTAATCAATTCATCCCGGGTCCAGTACTCAGTAAGTGCTGGAGCTAGAATATGAACCTACAGCTGTCTATCCCTAGTTTTCCAACTGTGCTAAAATTACTCTCTGTTCATAAATTTTGTCTATCTTTTCCAGTAAATCTTTAATGTATTTATAGTAGTTATGTTTAAAGTCATTATCTACTGGGTTCAATATTTGGTTACTGTGTGGGTCTGTTTTTGTTTTGTTTGTTTTTCTCTTGATTACAGTTCACATTTTTAACTTTTTCACTGTTCATCTAATTTGTTTTATATATATTATGGTAGATATTGAATAAAAAAGAACAGTAGAGACTGAAGTAAATATTCACTCCAGAAAAGTCACACCCCTTCCTCTGTCTGACAGCTAGTTTGTGGTGTTTATTCTCTTTAGTCTGATCTCCAGTTGAGCTGGGTCTGGTTTGAGTTGTTTCAGTTTGCTACGTGTTTGAAATGTTTTGAAAGCAGGATAAGGTCTCTCCCTTTATCAGGGCATGTGATCTGTGCTCCAGTGAGTCTAGAGATCTCTCTCTCCTTCTCCCCCCTACCCCGTCTCCCTGCTTTAAAGTCCTGCTACCAGTTTTTTTTTTGGTCTTTTTTTTTGCCTTTTCAAGGGCTTACTGCTGTTGGCCTTTCCCTGCCTCCTCTCTGGCTTTCCAAGTCTTGGCTGAAATCTCTCTGTCTTCCTGCCCTGTCACCAGTCCTTGGTACAGTGAAAGTTCAGTAGAAAAGACTTGATGGGCAGGTGTTCTCAAAGGGATCTCTCTCCCCTTTTCTGCCCTGGCCCTAGCTCTCTGCATGTAGCTACTGTGTACACTTAGTTAAGACTGTGAAAAAGAACTGGCAGCCTATACACACTCCCTGGGTCTCCTCAGGACTCTAATAGTCCGTCACAGAGGTCCACAGATGGCCATAAGAGTTTGGCTTTTTGTATACGCTGATAGACGTCAGCGTAGATTTGCTTCTACTCTGTCTGTTCCCCCATTAGGAAAGTGACCATGGATCTTCACTCATCTAGGAAAGGCTTACCCTTTTCTGCAGTTAGTTCATCCAGACTTCTTTGCATTCTCGGATCTCTGTAGGTAAAACACAAAGGCATGGTTGCTTTGTAGCCTATCTGGCATGTTTTTGGTGTTACGGTGATAACAACTGTCTACTTCCACTTTTTACATACTAACTGAAACTATTTAACAATGTTTTAATAATTAATGGACATTAGACCTTAATTGTCAAATAGCAATATGAAAAATATTTTTTATTTTTCAATATAGATTGCTATCGTTTGTACTTAAATTATGGAAAGAATCATGATAATTCAGTGAGAAACTAAACCTTAGAAAAACTGTTACCTATTTAGTATTTTCAGTTACAATGAAATTGATAGAGAAACTTATCAAAGTGAACTGCAAAAACTGTATTTGGAGTGATTAAGTGCTGGCATACAGTAATGCTAATTTTGAGTTGAAACCCAAACACAGACCTGAAACATGTTAGAATAAAATTGCTACTTTCTGTGAATAGTGTAGATATGAGTAACACTATCCTACATGTTTTAGAAAAGTAAATTGAATGTTGTGTACCACAAATATGTCTCTGGAATGTACACATCTGAATTCTCTACTACCTAAACTGACCCTTTTTTTATCACATGCATACATCATGCTTTTGTGCTACCAGGATGTTGATTTCTAACAGGGTGCTATGTCTTAGATAAAGAAAATGGCTTAAAGAAAGTGGCTAGCATAAACTTTGCTTCTTGAGGTCTCTCAGGACATCAAAGGGACTTGGAACTGGCTAAAAGTCAGCCAATAAAGATCGAATTTTCTAGATACTTGCATCTACTAGAGCTTGAAGCTAGTAGAGTTTAGAGGGGCTGCAAAAGACATCCTAAGGATTCACAGACTACTTCTTGGTTCATCAGCCATAAAAACCACTGGGCTCTTTACCCAAATTTCTTTACTTGGAATCTGTGTCCATGCTGCTGAACCAGTAGTAGTGGGGAGAAGAGATTGCACATATCATTTATAGAAGCAACATCACTGTTTCATCATATTGTGGTATTAAAATATAAGGTGCAGTATATTTAGGAAGCTTCCGGAGACCAGGGACATTGTCTTGTTTACTTTTGGATCTTTTTCATCTAGCAAGGCCTGCCAAATAATCACTGTTAAATAAATATTTGTTGAAGAACTGATTGGATGAATATTATGGAAATATTTTACATGAACTGGAAATATCACTGGATGCATCCATATTTTAGATTTCCTAGTACTATGTTGGATTAACATAGCAGCTCGCATTACTTTTACTAGGGACTAATAAAAGGATATCAGTAGGATAACAGCCATGCAACTTTAATTTTTTAAAATCCAGTTATTCTTTGGTGGTAGATTATAGAAGTTTTGCAAAGCTTCAGTGAAAGGTTTTCTAATAAAAGGAAGCCAGTGATTGTTAAGGTATACTCCCACATAAGAAGACTGTCCATAAAGGTGAGAGTAGAAGGTTCACTTGGTAGACAGTTGTTAGAATGGGAAGACCAGTGAAGGGAGATCAGCACAGAAGGGGTCAGGCACCAGCTGACAGAACAAGGAAACACCCCTGAAATCCACATCCCATTATTATTCCTACATTTTTTATTGCAAAGCAGACATTAATTTAATTTGGTTTACCACAGTAATGCATTCCTGTTATCTGCTCTCATAAGGACCAGCTGCCGTAATTCTGCCTTGCTGATTCCCTACTTCATTTATCCACTTTGCTCATGTGAGTTCTTATAGAAAATGCCACCCCATTTTCTTTCCTTCACTTTTCTTGCTGTTTGCCTTTACAGGTCATCCACATTACTATTGATCCTTAGAGGGAGTAGTAGAATTTTCATAGATGTGTGCTTTAAATCCCGAAGGGCACGTAGTCAGTAGTTGAAATGTAATGGATTTGGAATGGTAGCACAACCACAAAAAAAAAACAAATAAATAAATGTGTAACTGTGCAGGTAAAACCAAAGACTTAGGCCACAGTCCCAGCACTGGCAGTAACAGAGAACATCAATGGAGTCGCTCTTCCTTTGGGCTGGGAGAGACTGTAAGCAGGGAAAGCTATGAAATTCAGAATGAAGGAGATGGAATCATAGTGCTAAAGCCTCCGCACGAGAGCAGGAAGATTCTATGGCAAGCCAGTGAGAGTGCTCCCCAGCACTGATTCCAGCCATGTACCAACCAGATAAGAGATGATTTTACTCTCAGTATCATTTAAATAACACAGCTTACATTCAATGCAAAGCACAGGGAATTTTTTTGTTTCTTTGCTTATTTACTTGTGTGTTTTAATTTCAGGTTTAATCAGACAACATTATAAGCTATCCCAGCCTTTCTGGGAGTTATACTTTCCTAGGGCTTGTCTGCAGCGTTGGAACTTCATTAGTTCTTGATACCCTTGGAACTTTACTATTAATAATAACCTTAAGCATAATAACCATGTTTATGGCTTCTTTGTGTGCACAGGCCCAAGGAAAGGCCTTAGATTACATTCTCTGTGTCTCTGAGAAATGCTCTAAACACAACATTTTTTCCCCTTCTACATATACGTCAAAGGGCAGGGGAAAGCACAGTTTGGCTGCATATATTCTCATTTACTGCGTAATTACTTAGTATCTTTCCCCCTTAGCCTCCCTTTGAAGCTAAAGCTAGTGGCATTCCTAAACTTTATAGTAATCTTTAAGCTTTCTCATTATACACAAAAATGTTGGTCACTTACATCTTTTTATAAGGGTTTGGTGATTATTAAAAATGCTATGCTTTATGATAACATTTTTCATATGGTTTTAAACACATATTTTAAGCAGAAATATACAGTTATTTTCCTGTAGCTCACCATCTATTTTGGAATTAAAGTTTCTGGCATGGATATTTTTTAGGACAAAATAAGTTAAGTGAACATTTTTGCTAACTAATTTTAAGATTCCTGTTTCTTTCCTTCTTTTTCTTTTTCTTTTTTTCCCCTATTTTCAGCTTTCTAAGAAGTACGGAGTCCATGTTTGTGGAGAAGGTGGAGAGTATGAAACGTTCACTTTGGACTGCCCTCTATTTAAGAAGAAAATAATTGTGTAAGATATCATTTCAGCATTTTCTTCCCCTTCCTCAAATTTAAGTGATGGAAGCAACGTAACATTAAGCTGGAGGCAACTTTTGTTAAGAGAAATAGAACATGTCCTCCAAGTTCACAAACACTCAATTTGTTTAATACCAGTGAAGTCGTCTGAATACCTAAATCAATACATGACAAGACGAGGCCTTCATAGAAGCCTATAAACTTTTTAGACATTGCACTTTCATTGACTTGCTGATTATGGCCTACAGTGAAACTGGTACCTACACACTGACACTTTTCTCCTTTCATGAAGTGTGAATTGCCTGTGTTATTTATCTTTCATTACAGCTACATTTGATAAACTGCCACATCAGTAGCCTGTGGGTTCCATTAACTCCGTTCTCTTTTTCCTTTTTCTTGGCTTTAATAACTTAGAATGGTAATACTAAACATTTCTCTTCAATTATTTGGGGTTATTTTTACATATAAACTTTGTTTTTAAATGAATTCTGTTTTATGGTGAATAGTGTGATTTCTTTGCCATAAATTGTTAAAATTCGTGTAGCAAAAAGTAGGAACTTTCTTCAGTTTGTTAACATTATTATCCATACTCTAATTTATATCACTCCTCTCATATGCTAAGAGGGTACTTTATTTGCTTTTCCTAAGCTCTTCAGCTTCTTGAAAAGGTTGTCAGAATTATGCTTGATTTCAGAAACCTCATCTGATGAAAGACTAGAATCTTGTATCGAATGGACAGCTTTAATATTTTCAACACTGAAAGGTGACTTCTTTGTACATATTAATAATGAGGGAAAGAATGTTCTAAGAAGTTAAGACAACTCCAGGTGAATTTTCTAAAAGTTACATTTATCTTGGGAAACATAGCCAAGACCTCTCCATTACCCTGTGCAATATTCACCCACTCTTGCTTCTCTCATTTCTTCTAATTTGTTTTCCATTAATAATCATCGAACATAATAATAATATATTTGGCAAATATATATCAAGTACCTATTATGTCTAAAGCATTCTACTGGGCACCACTGATGTTGAAACATAGTTCCTGTCTCCAGAAGGGTGGAAGGAAGACACACCTGCATAAAATTGTGACACAAAATGGTAGAGGATAAGAGTCAGAAGAATAAGTTCATAAACGAGAGGTATTTCTTGTGGCTTCAGTGATCACAGAACAATTCATTGAATGAACTGTGCCTTAGGTATTACTTCTATGAAATAATACTGTTTGGTTACTTAAGAAAAACATTTCCATGCTAGGGTGAAATTATAGTATAATAGGAAACTTGCAATATACTTATTAGACTAACCAAATTAGAAAAAAATAAAAAGCACAATAAGAGAAAGAAGGCCAAAGAATAATACTCTTCCTGTTCATTGCACAACTTGAGGTCCTGGAGCACCCAGAACTCTTTATGGACAACATAGAATTATAAGAAATGTGCTGCTTTACACTACATAACCATAAGGTTTATTTATCATAGTACTTTAGACCTGAAAAATGAATCTTTCACTTCATCATTGTGTAGACAGAGAAACCTCAACCTGACTGAGGCAATGACATGATGGGAGTTAATCATGCTGTTGAAGAGAAGGATATCAGGGAAGGTGTATTAGAACCCTCTAGTGCCAAAATGAGCTGTTCAATTAACTGGATAATCATTTGTTGAGGATAATTATGTGGGTGGAACTCTGCAAGCTGCCACCCTGCTCTGTAAAAGTTCTTTTGTAAGAATGGAGAGGCACATCAGCAATACTGGAAGTGCTAACATACGTGTGTGTACCTTGAGAACAGAAGGGGAAGAACTGACATTTCTTTCTTACTCAGTTATCAGCTACTCACTAATCTGATTCTGATGCTTAAGCGCGTTCTTTGATTTTTTTCTTCATAGGTTCTGCCTCACCTCAGCTTCATAACTTTCTTATTCGATTTCTTTTCGCTAGATTGCCTTCCCATTTATCCCCACTTTGCTAAATCCTTCCAATTTTAAAGGCTTTGGTTGTTACTACTTCCAGTGCTTGTCCTCATATCTGAACTCTCAGAACACACAGTAGTAGGCACTGATAAATGTTAAATATCATGGAATTAATTTTTCATTTATTGTTTAGTTTTAAATATCCTATTTCACTTTTATGTATTCCTTTCTTAGGTTATAACTAGAGCTTGTAGTAGTTGAATGGAAAAAGAATGTCACCTATTATATACAAAATCTTTCCTTCTCTTTAAAATAGAAAATGTCCTTATCATACCTGTCTGATAAGCACTAAATGTGATGATGTGAATGAATATGCATTGCACATTCTAAAACTGTATATAAATTAAAGTTATTTTATTTAGAGATAGTTTTCCATGTGACACAATTAAAAGATAAGTTTAGACCTGGTAACTACTTGTTAACAATTGACAGTTAATCTTACTGGATCCTGTCAGTTAGAATGTGTTTGGGGGGACAAAGTTAATAATTTCTCCTGTTATATTTGACATAGTAGTGATCTTCCACAGTTAGCATACAACTAGTTGATTATTAGGAATCCCCTTTTCAATGCCTAATTCAAATTTTATGTTAGAAAAGGAGACTATGAGGAGAAAAAATAAACTTTTGCATGCAAAATGATTTGATTATAATTAGGTGTGGTTTTTTTTTTTCAAAGACACAGATAGAATCTCTTGTATAATGAAATAATTTAGACAAATTAGGGTGGTTCTAGAAGTTTATTATGAGATACATTTTGCCCCGAATTCCAACTAACATTTTTAGAATCTTGTAGGAAACACTGGTATAACAGTCTTTGTGTGGAAGTAATCTTTTAAATTTTTGACTAGAACATTTTACAGTTTACTTTTCACATCAATTAGGATGTGACTACTCACCTCTAGATGCAAATTTTTAGATCAGAAAATGAGGGGTTTTTCCTGAGGAGCCTTGACAAAAAGAATTGCAGCCTAGTCTTTAAGAATAGAGGACAACTGTAGGTCCTCAAATAAAAAACTTACTTTCTCGGTGTCCCTGGTGGCGCAGTGGTTAAGAATCCACCTGCCAATGCAGGGTACACGGGTTCGAGCCCCGGTCTAGGAAGATCCCACATGCCGCGGAGCAACTAAGCCCGTGAGCCACAACTGCTGAGCCTGCGCTCTAGAGCCCGCGAGCCACGACTACTGAGCCTGCGCACCTAGGACCTATGCTGTGCAACAAGTCACCACAGTGAGAAGCTCGCACACCACAACAGAGTGCCACCCCCTGCTCGCCGCAACTAGAGAGAAGCCCGCGCGCAGCAATGAAGACCCAACGCAGCCTAAAAGAAATATTTTTTTTTTAAAAAACCTACTTTCTTTTTATTTCTTACTTTGAAATATATGTGTATGCATATCAAAAGTAAGAACTAAAACATGGGGAATATAGCCAGTATTTTGAAAATAAAGTAAGAACTAAAATCCCAATGTATTAATGAAGGTGATAATTTTCTTCTCACTGTTAATGAACACAATTTTAATGTCAATCTTTGATACAACCCCATATTTCCATTTGAATTGTCAATATTAATGTACTACTGCTACAGAGTTGCTGTGTATGGGATGGATGGATGGATAGAAGAAACAATGGGAAGGAAGGAGGGATGAAAAGAAGAACTAAATTCTATGATTAAAACACTATGCTCTCATTTTCCCCACTTACTCCTCGTTTCTACCTATTCAAGACAGAACTCAGCCCAGAGCATCATAATATGGCATTTAGCCGTGAGGATGAATCAAGTACTTTCCTTGTCTGCCTTCTCATATCTATTCTGTATCACTTGGGAATTTATTAGAATTTATGAACCATTTTCCTTGTATTTAAATTTATATAATTATTTTTATTATGCTAGAGATAACCATATATTGTTATTGGTATACATGTATGCTTATGTTCATGTATCCATATATATATACAGTATGCATGTATGAAAATGTACGTATTCGTGTGAAGATTGGTAATTGAAAAATCAATGTGGGTTTTTGATAGTGTCAATAGTTACTGTGTAAATGTAAAGATACTTAACAAAGTTAAACTATACAGTTATTTGTTTATTCAACAAATAATTGAAAATAAGGCAGTGTATTCTGCACTGAGCCAGAGGTGGAGTGTGGGGAGACAGGCAGACAAAGATGAACAAAACCTGGTCCCTCTCTAAGAAGGAAGACAAGCACACAGACACATAATTATAATATAGTGGATGTGTTATGAAAGGTCTGTAAATGCATTACCAAAGCACATAAAGCAGAAAACTAGCACTGTCTGAAGATGTCAGGCAAGACTTCACGGAAATGATGTTGGAAATGTCTTGTGAGGATAAGTGTGAGCCCACGGGGAATATCTGCGTGCAGTTGTCTTTTCAGAGGGGAAGTAGGAACCAAGACCATGGCTGAGCCTCAAGAGAAAATTCAGTATTTTGAAGTGAGAGGGTTAGGGCCTGATCTCTCAACTTGAGAGAGAGCCTATAGTCAGGGAAGAGAGACTCAGACCTGACTCAGCTAGCTGCCCTTTTGAAGTCGTAACTAGGGATAAGCCTAACGCAGCAGTGAAAGGGAGCATGGGATCCAGCTCTTGGCTACTGAGAAACCTCAGTTGTGTAAGAGGAAGGGGCTGCACTGATTACTTGTATTAATAGGGAAAGAGGAGGAGGGTAGCCAACTGGAAAGCATTTTTGCTGTTGTAGAGTTTTTCTTAATTTTCTGGGTCTCTCTGAGGGTATTCCAGCAGATTCTGCTCTAGGTTTCAGAGAAATCCATGAAGCAGACAGAAACCAGAGACTCTTGAAAGTTGAGTTTCAGGTGAGTTTATGAAAGAAAAGCAGAGCAGTAGTGGCATTATTCTGTTTGAAGCTAAAAGCCATTTATTTGAATCTATTATCTGTCTCCCAGTTGATTCTGGCTTTGTATAACTGAATGAAATGACGTTAGTCAATTAGAGATTATGGATTTAATAGAATCCATAAAAACCATATTCCTCTTCACTTAGTGTTCAGAATGTTATATATTTTCTCTGGATAACAATCTTGGTTCAGAATGCAGTAATTGTATCAATTAAGTGAGCTATTTGCTGTCAATCTTCTGTTTCTAGTGGGAATAACTGTCAAGAGAAAGGAGGGCCCGAAACCCTTTCCACTGACACATCACTGGTTCAGGTTAATCATGGTTTTGGTGTACCCATTGTCAAGGATATCAAGACCAAGCTGCCTACATCAGGCATTATTGAGGCTCAGGATCGGTTTCCAAAGCTGGGATTGGGAACATAGAGATTGAAATTTAATGTAAGAACGAGGTCATACACAGGAACTAGAATTTGAATCTATTGAGGAACCAAGATAGGACCAGAACAGACAACTCAGGAGTGAATAGACAAGACGACTAGACTAGAGTTAACAAGGCAGAGAGACAGGTGGTAGAAAGCAAGAGGGTCTCCTCTTTTCTTTCTCTTTCTCCTCTTGCTCATTATACATTGAGGCATCTTTCGGTTAGGTAGTCTGTGAAGGCAGGTTATTACTTTCTTTCATGATCCCGATTATAATGTTTTTCTTTTAAAGTCATAGAAGCCTGTTTTAATGTAATTTTTTAAAGAACTAACAAGATACGTATTTGATACTAACGGTTCATGAATAGTAGTTGATTTTTTTTTTTTACCATCAAACTTTTTTCTCTACCTCTGATCTTTCAAGTGAAAAAGTAAGCATATTTTGCTCATGAAAATTTAATATATCGGATCCTAGTCTTTTGAGATTTCTTCTATTGTCGCTAAATAACTTTGCATTACAAAAGTTAATTCAAAAATATTTTACATTAGTGGAAAAGAATCAAAGTAAGAATTTATTTTGCTGAACAACAATGGTTAAAGTGCTAACAATGTACTAATATAAACATTGGAACTAGTTCCTAAGGCATTAAAGAGACATGAGAAATTTCTGCTTTTAGGATTTGAGTTAAAATACAAAAACACTATTGCTTTCTTAATAAACAACAATAAAAAATAATTAATTATTAGAACTTCACACATAATCTTAGTTATTCACATGTGCTTTACAGGGTATCTTTGATAAAAGTTGAGTTAATTTACATGTATCCATATGGTGCCAGCAAGCAGTTCATACTGTTTTACCTGAATGTGGTAATTGCTATGTCAGACAATCAATTTTAATAACAATGATATTGCAGTGTGAAGAGTTCATCTAGAGCTTAAAACCATCACCAGTACTGCCTTTGTGAAGGATAATTGAGATTTTGTGTGAAACACTGGATGAATTACCTCTTGAAAATGAAAAGAATAATGAAGATAAAGCACTACTGTTTAATGGTAGCCCATACCAACCAAATTTGTGAAAATGAAATTGAAGTTTCAAGTTGTAAAACTGTTCGGAGAGCTTTGAGTGAACCTGAAAGTTGAACTGTGTGTCCTCATAAAGATGAAAAGGTCTTTACTTATTTTTGAAAGTTTAATATTCTCAATCTTTTCCCCAATTAAATATTGGATTATTAAAAGTAGATGTTAATCGTTAATTATGTAGTAAATATGTATACAATAGTATACTAGTGGAAATAAATGAGGATTTTTGGTCTTTTCTAGTCACTAGTAGGAGCAACTTGCCACAAAACAGATTTTGCATAGTAGATAAATGTATTATAACATTTTTTTATTTCAGGGATTCATCAGAAGTAGTCACACATTCAGCTGATGCATTTGCACCTGTGGCTTACCTACGCTTTTTAGAATTGCACTTGGAGGACAAGGCAAGTAAATCTAATTCACAGTGATTTAAAGAGAAAATTGAGATATGTGCATTGTCTCTATAGATGTAATTCTATAACAACAAATGAAAGGGTAAAAAAAAGTGATTTTTTTCAAATCCTCAGTCAGTAACTGAGAATTCTGCAGATGTTTATAGTTTTAAGAGCTGTATATTATGTAAAAGATATTACATTGCTGAAGAGTTTGCAGTTCATTTGAAAAGGGAATCATATATACATTAATCAAGGAGAAGACAGGACGGTGTATAACCAAATATTAAATCATCTAGAAAATTAAGAATTAGGTTATTGAGCATCAGCCTTAGGGGAAAGGTTTGAGGATAAATTGGATCTTCATTATACAAAGTTTAAGAGGAGAAGAAAAGGACAAATTAAACCTTTTCCAAAAATATACAGGGGAACAGTCGTACAAATGAAAGATGGAAAATGAAGCAAAAAGTGTGATAGTTTTATTTTAAATACATTGATTGTCAAAACACAGCAGAAGTCAATTTTAAAATGTTTTGTGGAATAGTTAAGGTCTAGATTCGACCCTGTGATTAAAAGCTCTGCTCCTTGAGGCATAAATGATTGGAAGAAGTCTGCATCTTTCGCGTTCTGTCATCAAGTGTCTTGAGGCACACCCACAGTCATATATATGATAGAGAATCTGAAGAACCAAGAGAATCAATGATTGGCAAAGGAAGGAGAAAAATGGGAACCCCAGTAATCTCTCAATCAGCAAAAATTTCTAAAAGTAGAGAATAATATTTGGAGCCATTTCTCTAGAAAAACTACAAAAGACAAGGTTGAAAAGAGGTGATTGAATTGGGCTGAAAGATGACTATTGGTGACCTTTTACCAAAAAACTGGTAAACCTCAAGAGAATGAAGCGAAACTATCCAGACATCTTTCAGACCCACTGAAAGGAGCCTCTCCTAGGTCTCTGCTACTTTTGCTGCCATGGGCACACACAAAAAAATCAAAACCACCAAATTCTGGTTTAAATACATTAGCCATTGTATGTTCATCTCTACCTAAATAGCTCAGTATTCACACTATTTTGGTATTGCTTTGTTCTTCTCTATCCATTTTCCCTCTTGCAGAAAAGAATATTACTTCTTTAAGGTGCAGTACTCACTGACACTGAATAAATATGGTGCATTTCCTTTTTTTTTTTTCCTTAGGTGTCCCCAGTACCTGACAACTGCAGAACATCTAATTACATACATAACTCTTGAAAAGCATTTTTGTTACTAAGCTGGTATTTTTATATTTTAAAAATCACATAGCATTTTCTCAATTATTATGTCCCACTTTTTTCATTACATTTTTTTATTCTTAGAAATATTTATCTTTATCAGAAGTTGATAGAACCATTGATTAATTGGTTAACACATCCAATCCATGATCTCTGTGATTGGTACCTTCTTTTTTCCCCTTTTACTTCATCTGAAATCCTCATTTCTGTAACATTTCTTTGCTTTCATCACACTGGTTTATTTTCCTCTTTCTTGTTCCTGCTTTCATCTCTGCCTATAGTATCCTGATGCAAAGGCAATTGAAAATGAGGATGAAAAGATAGTCACTGTATTTAGCTAATCAAGTTTATTCTACCGGGCATCACCATTTTTGTTTTGAATATATTAATTGTTTCAACATTATTGGACAATCAAGAAGAATACCATTAACTCTTACTGGTTGTTTTATAACTGATTAAAAAATGTAGTTTTTCGGTATTACCTATGCTGACTTCAGACTACTTTTAGAGTTTGCAGCAAAATTGAGCAGAATGTACAGAGAGTTCCCACATATGCACAGCCCCCCCAGCTGTCAACATCCCACACCGCAACAGTACATTTGTTACAATCAAGGAATTTACACGGACACATCAGTTATTACCCAAAGACCATAGTTACATGATGAGTCACCTTGGTGTTGTACGTTCTGTGGGTTTGGACAAATGCATAATGACTTGTATCTACCATTATAGTATAATACAGAATAGCTCTGCCTATTCATCCTTACTTTTCCTCTAACCCCTGGTAACCTCTGATGTGTTTACTCTTGCCATAGTTTTGCCTTTTCCACAACATCATGTAGTTGGAATCATTTAGTATGTTGCCATCTCATATTGGCTTCTTTCACTTACTAATATGCATTTGGATTCCATTGTGTCTTTTCATGGTTTAACAACTCATTTCTTTTTCTTTTTTTCTTAAGACATTTTTTTAGAGCAGTTTTCGGTTCACAGAAAAATTGGAGGGCAAGTACAGAAATTTCCCATTTACCCCCTGCACCCACATATGCATAGTCTTCCTCATTATCAACATCCCTCCCCAGAGGGGTACATTTGTTACAATTAATGAACCTACATTGCACATCGTAATCACTCAAAGTTCATAGTTTACATTACAGTTCACTCTTGGCTTTGTACATTCTATAGATTACATGTATCCATCATTATGGTATCATACAGAATATTTTCACTGCCCTAAAAATCCTCCATGCTCCACCTTTCATCACTTAACTACCTCCAACCCCTGCAACCACTGATCTTTTTATTATCTCCATAGTTTTGCCTTTTCCAGAACATCATATAGTTAGAATAATATGGTATATGCCATCTTTAGATTGGCTTCTTTGATTTAGTAATATGCATTTAAGGTTCCTGCATGTCTTTTCATAAGTTTTTAAATGCTTAATAATATTCCATTGTCTGGACATACCATAATGTATTTATCCTTTCACCTACTGAAGGACATCTTGGTTGCTTGAAGTTCTGGCAATTGTGAATAAAGCTTTTGTAAAACATCCATGTGCAAGTTTTTGTGTGGACATAAGTTTTCAACTCTATTGGGTAAATACCAAGGAGCATGATTGCTGGATTATATGGTAAGAGTATATTTAATTTTACAAGAAACCACCAAACTGTCTTCCAAAGTGGCTGTACTATTTTGCATTCCCACCAGCAGTGAATGAGAGTTCCTCTTGCTCCACATCCTTGCCAGCTTTTGGTGCTGTCAGTGTTTTGGACTTTCATCATTCTAATAGGTGTGTAATGGTATCTCATTGCTGTTTTATTTTATTTTTTTAATATTTATTTATTTATTTGGCACTCAGGATCTTTGTTGCCGCCTGCGGGATCTTTTAGTTGCAGTGCTCAGGATCTTGAGTTATAGCATGTGAGCTCTTAGTTGTGACATGTGGGATCTAGTTCCCTGACCAGGGATCAGACCCAGCCCCCTGCGTTGGGAGTGTGGAGTCTTAACCACTGGACCACCAGGGAAATCCCCTCATTGCTGTTTTAATTTGCATTTCCCTCATGACGTATGACATGGAACATCTTTTCATGTATTTATTTGCTATCTCTGTATCATATTTGGTGAGATGTCTGTTTAGATCTTTTGCCAATTTTTTATTTGAACTCTCTGTTTTTTATTATTGAGTTTTTAGCAGTTCTCTATATATTTTGGAAATAGTTCTTTATCAGCTGTGTCTTTTGCAAATATTTTCTCCGAGTCTATGACTTGTCTACCCATTCTTTTTCCAGTGTCTTTCACAGAGCAGAAGTTTTTAATTTTAATGAAGCCCAGCTTATTAATTATTTTTTTCCTGGATCATGCCTTTGGTGTTGTATCTAAAAGTCATCACCAAACCCAAGGTCATCTAGGTTTTCTCCTATTTTATCTTCTAGGATTTTTATGGCTTTGCATTTTACAATTGGGTATGTTATCCATTTTGACTTAATTTTTGTGAAGGGGTATTAGGTTTGAGTCTGCATTCATTTTTTTAATGTGTGCGTGTCTAATGGTTCTAGCACCATTTGTTGAAAAGACTATACTTTCTCCATTATATTGCCTTGCTCCTTTGTCTGTATTTGTGTGGACCTATTTCTGAGCTCTCTATTCTGTTCCATTGATTTGTTTGCCTATTCTCTTGCCAGTACCGCAAAGTCTTAATTACTGTAGCTTTATAGTATGTCTTCAAGTCAGATAATGTCAGATTCTGACTTTGTTCTTCTCCTTCAATACTGTGGTGACTATTCTAGCTAGGTCTTTTACCTTTCCATATAAATATTAGAGTCAGTTTTTTGATATCCACAAAATAACTTGCTAAGATTTTGAATGGGACCACATTCAATCTATAGATCAAGTTGGAAAGAACTGACATCTTAACAATATTGAATCCTACTATCCAAGATCATGGAATATCTATTTATTACATTCTTCTTTGATTTCTTTCATCAGAGTTTTATGTATATATGTATATGTATATGTGCTTAAGACATCCTTTTTAATGTTCATCGTTCTAAATCAGTTAAATGTTGCCTCCTTTAGGACTTTTTTTTTTCTTTTTAATATCAGGCTTTGAGACGACATTCTTAGGGTGAATCAGGAAAGAAATAAGAGTTCCTTTCCCAGAAATTTTATTACATCTCCATGGATTGGGTAAAGCATTGGCCAAGTCACCAGCTTTACTCCAGAGCCCACGCAGGTAGTAGAGAAGGGGATTCTATAGAGGGAAAACAAAGTATAATTAACAAAAGAAAGATGAATAAATGCTAGAGGGCAAAAATGATAGATACTCTTTCACATGTTTTATCAAATTCACATTGTTATCTTAAACTCATATTAACAAATTAATTAACACTCTACCCCAAATAATAGTGAGACCTCAAATGTATACTTTGAATACCACTCTGAAAATCCGTCCGTATCTGTTCCCTAAATTCCTTTAGTTTCTACTCACTTTATAACACATTTGCAATCTAGCTTGACCTCAATTACTTTGATGTTGGTCTTTTCTGTCTTCATAATTGTTAATCATTTTTCCTGATAATATTGACTAACATCTCCTCAGAATTTTTTCCTATAATGTGTATATGTCATTGTACTATTCTGACTTTCCTTCCAGTCTCTCAAGATTTCTTATCTTCTTCAATAGCTTCTTTGCTTCTTACCTTCAATATATATATATATATATATATATATATATATATG